GGGGTCGGCCTCCCTGCAGGGCGGCGGGTGGTCGCGCGGCGCTCGGAGGGGCGCGGGGAGGTGCATGGTGGGGGGCGCGCGCCAGCCCCGGAGTTTTGCAGCCGCCTTCGTCGGGGACAGAGTCTTTTTGTTCTTGTACTTTCTCCAAGTGCTGCGCTTATCGTCTTCGTTTTCTTCCCGGTGTTCTCCCCTTCCGAGTGTAGTTTTCTTTTTAAAAGCGGAAGGAGAGTTTTGCATGGGAAGTAGCTTCCAGAAACTTGGCACCGAGGTGCAGGGAGGCGAGAGACTCTTTGTGTCTCTAAGGCCGAGTGAGGAATTTGCAAGCACATGTGGGATATACCAGCCTTGGATGCAGAGGTGTGTGACCTTGTCATGGGAAACATTGCAGTTGCTCGCAAATGTCTTTATGGTCTGCAAACTCAGGGGTCACAGAGCTCTTAGGAGATTTGAAATGACACTTCCAGCAAGCCTCAATGTTGCAGTATCTCGGGGAGGAGGATCTAGCTGAGTTGGAATATGCATTTGTATCGCTCTGCAGACCAAGTTTTGCAGCAAGTGATCGGGAGGAATCGTGGACTTGCATGTCCTTACCTTTCGCTCCTTGAGATTCGGAAGGCATGGGAAATTTTGGGGTGGATGTCAATTTGACATTTCATCCGAAAGAGTCGATTTGGAGTAACTTGTCACTGCCAGTTGGTTTGCCAGTGACGTGTCTGCCAACTCAAGGAGTGCAAAGATCAGAAGCTGAGAGGGAAGTTCTCAGATCTTGTTTAGAAATATTTTGGCAGTTTTAATAGATAATATTAGATTGCATAGGAATAGAGGAGCGGAATTTAAAATAGATTAGTCACGTAGGGAATGCTTAGCTGTTTTGTTAGAAAAGTGTGCACGCAGTGACTTACCTTCTTAGGTCTGCACTTCTCCGAATTTTTTTCCCTGAACAACATAACCAATTATGGCATTTCATAATTTATGTATGGAGTTTAGGAACGATGCACAGAGTTTGCTTTCTCTGTTTTGGGTGGAGATTGATCTCTTCCTGAAGGCTTGAAAGAGCTTCTTCTGATCTAATTTAAGAGCTAGTGAAAGCGACTTTTAGATGCAAGGGTATCCTTTTTTCCTCCATATTTATGTCACTTGAGACATTTGATGTTGTCCCTTAATTAAATTTGAAAGATTAGTTTTGTCCTTATAGGTATTAACGTGCAAAAAGAGTTCTCTCGAGATTTTAGAGATGACTGACAAGATCGGCCTTCTCTATCCTTGTTTTGGGTATTAGACATTGAGACCTTAAGTCTTGAAAGAAAATGTCAACGAGCCTTTGAAAGGTCATTTTATTTTATTATTTTTACCATTTTTTACAAAAGTTAGTATATGCCATTTTGATATTAGAAATATTTTTGTTTTTTGGCCTCTGGTGAACTCTCATTACATGTGAATGTACTGGTAATATTAGTACTAATAATCAAAACATTGAGGCACTATAGATTTTTATTTTGTTCTGCCTGCTAATTGTGGATGTAATTCAGATGACAAAAATCCTTAGAATTATTGGAGCCGACACAAGGACATTTAATGAGCTTACATGTCTAGCAAATAATTTGATATATCTAATAAATAGTTTATTTCATCTTATTTCAGAGTTACTGGGTCAATTGAATAATTTCAGCTAAATTTAAAATTTTTCCTTTTTTGTGACTAGTAAATGACATCCACAGTCATATAGGAAAGTTAATAGCTCTTCACTGTTAGAAAAGCAATGAAAGCATTTGATATTTTATTTTACTAATACTTTAAGAACATATTGGTGTTTTATTAAAGATTTCGGGGTTCACACTGGATGCTTCTTTAAGAGAAAAAATTATAAAGTTATAAAGAAATTATATAATTATACGTTTGCTGCTGGAACTTTAAATATTTAAAGTAAAAGAGGGTAGGATGGAAACAGAAATACATCAGACTTTTGGGGTTTTTTTGCTTTTAAATGTAAAGTTGAGGTCTTGTTATGTTGCCCAGGCTGACCTCAAACTCCCAGGCTCAATGACCCACAACCCCCATTTTTATATCGCGTGACCTAAGACTTAGGTCTCACCTATTCCATTATAAAACCTGTAGTTTTTTGTTGGTGCTCTTTGTATGCATTTTTGAAAGTGAAAATTCTGTAAAATTTACCTTTAAGTGTAAAACTGTGTTATGGATGGAAGTCACCATTTTATTAGATATTTTGAACCATTTAAGATCATGCTAATGTGTAATCAACTTGTCTGCACACATTTCGTTGTGGGATTTATTAAATATCTTACAGAATACATAATACCCACTTGAGCATAATGTAAGGTTTCTAGCCTCTTTGCTTTGAATTTATTTTTATCTTACCTGCTTCTTTCATTCCTTTGAGTAGTAGAATGAAGAATAGTACAATTATTATATTAAATGCAAATTCCCTTTCTGATCTGACATGTTCAATAACTCATACAGTAGTAGAATATACTCCTTAAACTTAATAATGGAACAAGTGGGAAATTGGAGAAGTTGATGCTGGGAAAAAATAGTAATCCTCATCTTAGTAGAATTTGCACAGCTAAAACATACCATTAAGCTTTCAAATAGTTTGTCACCTTCAATACCTTGTATTTAGGGGGTGGTGTGTTAATTTGCATGATATGTTAATTTAATGATTTTTATGGAGAAACTTCTGAAAAGATGGCAAAATTCATATATATTGCCTACATACTCTGGCACTTAATATTTGTTGAATGACTGAACTGTTTGAATATTTCCCAGTCATTATAGCATTTCCAGCTGTGACTAACAGCACTAACTAATATTTGCTTACTGCTATCATAGTTAAATTAATGCATGGTTATGTTTAATAGCAAAAGAAATCCGGTTTGCTTTTTTCTAATTTTGACAAATTTAAACTTACATATTGAATACTTTTGTTAAAATTTTAAGAGGTCTCTAAAATTTTTTATTACAGCTTCAGTCAGAATTTAGAAAGAATCAATGGAGGAGACCATTTTAAGTTTCCCAAATTACCATTAAGTTTTTATTAGCAATATGTTTAATTCATTGCTGTGACAGGAATAAGATCCAGAAGTGTCTTGACTTAAGACAGATCACTGAATGCTTACTAATCAGTGTGCCTAGGTAAATCATTTGTACCTGGAACACACATACAGGACTTAGTACCTCTGCCAACCCTGCAATCTTAAGTAGTCCATGAAATTTAAGTGAATACACTGAACCATTTAGCTTGAGTTCTGAGTTCTAGGATGATGAATGTGAGAAGAATTAATTTCCTCGAGACTGATCCTTCCCTAAGCCGAACTCTGGCATTTTAGAAACCTGTTCCGTTTCACCTTTGGTGTACCCATTGCCTCCTTCTCCGTGGCTCTGCACTTCAAGCTACACGCTCCTCCACTTGGCAGCACTGCAGAGGCTTTCAGTGTCATCTCTGCCCTCAATTTCCTATTTTCTTCATCCCCATTTCCCACCTTAACCTTTCATTTCCTTGGTGTGCAGCAAGTCTTGTCTGGATGTTAAGAAGGAAGCAATTTGGTGGAACTAATTCACCTTAATCTGTAAATGACTCATGAGCTCTCACATCTTCCCAGGGTTTTTCATATTTTTGGATGTCTGTAAGAGGTTGCTGTTAACTCAGATAATTTTAAAGGAAACATTTCGCCTTGTGTTGTGGGGAAGGAATTTCTAGTCCTCTGCAGAAATAAGTTGGGTCTTACTGAGATTTGGCCTTTGGTTTCTTCTCAGTCCCGAAAGAGTCTCTTCCCTGGCATGCCACAGACTTCCTAAAAGTGGATACACACACGTGTGTGTGTATGAGAGTGTATTGCTGTCTATAGGTACTTGTGTATGTGTATAGAACAATGGTTCTTGTAGCATGGAGACGACTCAAAAATAGGGATTATGAATCCCCTTGAATATGATGATCACTTATAAGACATTTGTTTGTTATTGGGGCTAACTTACACTGTGTTGATAGGAATAGAGATGAAAAAGACAGGATCTCATGGATGAACTTGAATTTTTAAGATTTAGGTGTTAGGGATGGACTTACACATGATGTATATATAGCATAACACTAGCCACGCCTCCTACATCGGGGAGAACATCGTTTGATCACTTGGAAAAAATTGCCATGTCATGGGAGTTCACTGTATAGCCTTCTGAGAAAGAGGAAGTGTTGAGGATGAGAGAAGGAAAAGGATTGTAGGTAAAGTAATGGGTTGCTCTGTTACAAGATTTGTAATCCATTGTTATTCCAGTTGACACAGAAAGCATCCTTTTTGAAATATGAAAGGAGGTTAGTCGATTCTGACTCAACAACATCCGTTATGAGATGTTATTCTACGTTCGCTGGGAATAAGGGGGAATGAAAAATTTATGAGAATTAATTCCTACTGAGGATGCATATAACCGAACAGTGACTTGTCCTTCAGGGCCGGGCAAGTCGTCTTCCTTGCCCTATGGCTTCACAGATGCACAGCGTTTGTCACAGGGTTTGAGTGAGAAGGAGACTGTCTCCTCTCTCTTAACTGATTCACCAGGAAGAACCATCTTTCCTCTGTATCCCCAGAACCAGCTCAATGCTTGGCGTGTTTGAATAGGTGAAAAAAATGAGAGTGAAAGAAAGAGTTACTGGGTTCAGAGAAGGGAGAGGATACTGCCACGTTGGGGAAAAGCAAGTTCGGGTCTGAGATGCCCTAGGAGTGGTTCAGATTTCTTTCTCTATACAGCGGGACCGTGTGCAGGATGTGAAGAGCCACACCTGTCTTTGGGAAGGTGAGGCAACTGTTTTCAAAGCTGGGGTAGGAAGGGTGAACACTAGAGTTAGGTGCTTTGCGGTAGAGAAAAAAGGATGGTGGTATGGCCTGGAGACGTGGATTTGAGGAAGGAAGAGCAAATAACAAAGATGGAACCCAAATTCTATGCATCTTGGAAGCCGAAAGGGTAGTGGTACAACTGAAAGAACTAAGAGAGTTGGTTGGAGTGGAGTTGGGAATTTGAAAGAAGGGAGGAAGAGGAGGTCATGCACTTGACCTCGGACTTAGGCCTCTGAGGCTTTGACAGTCCCTTGGTGGAATGCTGAGTGACATTTTAGGAGAATGATTTGGGTTGATACTTCTAAACTTTTCAGGTACGATGATAACTTTTTAAATTAAAAAAAAAGGCAAATGCTTATGTTAATTTTGCTTTTAGTATTTGTTTATTGCAAATACATGCAATGACAAACAAATTTAGTTACACTTTTCAATGAGTTTGTGTTTTATTAAATCACAGAAGTGCTGGTTTGCCTTCATTTATGAAGTTGCTGTATGTGAGCAGCACCTTTCTCACTCAGGTGTCAGAGTGTTGTATTTGGCCTTGAGCACACCCAGTCGGAGCCCTGTGACAGGGACCAAGCCTCAGATGCAGGTGGGGAGGTCTCTGCCCATAGTGATAACAAGCCTGGGGGTGGATGAGGTCAGCAAGGGAGAACAGGGACAGACACTGGAAGAGAGAGCTAATAAAACTGTGGCGAATACTTGCATTTAGAAGATAATAAGTGAAAAGCGTTTCTGGAGTGATGTCCTGCAGCAGAAAGGTTAACGGGAGTCAGACCCAGGTGATAGCTAGTGGTCACTGGAGAGGTTTTTGTTGTTGTTGGTTTTTTGTTGTTTTTGAGTTAGGGTCTCCCTCTGTTGCCAGGCTGGAGTGCAGTGGCATGATCATGGCTCACCGCAGCCTCCACCTCCTGAGTTCAGGCGATCCTCCCACCTCAGGCTCCTGAGTAGCTGGGACTACAGGCCCAGATTTTATTTTATTTTGGTAGAGACGAGGTCTCGCTATGTTGCCTAGGCTGGTCTCAAACTCCTGGCCTCAAGCAATCCTCTCATCTCAGCCTTCCAAAATGCTAGGATTACAGGTGTGAGCCACTGTGCCCAGCCAAGAGATTTGATTAAGTGATAGGGCCAGAAAGCAGGCTGGATTGAGGTGGGTTTGAAGGAATGGTTCTTCTTTTTCTTGGTGACTGTTAAAGGCCTCTAACTTATCTTCCATCCTCACATTCCGACTTGGAGAGTGGAAGGGAAATTTTGTTTTCCATAGCAAAACAGAAGTTGACCAGTAAGGTTTTGTGGACTAGACTATCTTCTTAGTTCACTTAGCATAGTTTGAATCTGGCAGATGACTGATGCTATCCTACAGGGAGCCGATGAGAGGTATATATTTTTAAGGTTTTGGAATAAAGCATTACTATTTAAAACAAATCAGTGAGTTGCAAACAACAACTAATGGTCTTAAACTGATCATAGTGGTTTCATTCCTGTACCCTAATCCTGGGGTTATTTTTATTGGATGGAGCAGGGCGAAGAACATTTTATCTAGCTGGTAGAAGAGGAAGTGTGGCTTTTGAATGCAGTAAGAATGCGTAAAAGTTTTCTCTCAACCGTGGAATCCATTAAAAGGTCAGATTCAGTGTGGTTGATCCGGGAGATGTTGAAAGGCCAGGTGACAGTAGGTCTCAGCTGAGTTGGTTTACTCTCCTATAAGTTACCCGCGCACATTATTGTGAGAAGGACCCTTTTTTACTTATTTCAGTTTAGAGAGATGCCAGTAGTAGCTTTCTTTTGACTTATTGGATCTACATGTTGATGCGTGAATGGTTACAGATTTTGTGAAAACGGAGAATCTTATAAAAGTTTTCTTTTAAAGCCAGTGAAGTTAATGTATGAAGGAGTGGGTGTTTAAGTGATCACAGCAGGCTTTGAAAGGAAACTGAAACATTCTGATGCAGAGGCTTAGGGAGAAAACTTCTCTCCCCTAGTGTGGGCCTGCAGTATGTCTCCAGGGACTCTGGATGGTTGACGTAGTTGTCCTACATCTGTGCACTTGGTCCTGTTGGTCTTACGGAGATGTTGTATTTCCAGCTACTTTCTTACCTATACCTAAGGGCTTTTTCTTAGGAAGTAGGGAATTTCCTTTAAAACTTGAAAATTGTTATTTTCTAAAATCATTACTTTATCTCAGAAGAATAAAATCTAAGGGTGGGTCTCTAGTTCTCTTTTTCTTAAGTTTTTCTTTTGTATTTGTGTAACACTTTTTTAAAATTACTCAGAAAGATTTAAAAACACTATTCTTCCAGTTTTTTCATGTAATCTCTTCTCTATTCCATAATCTGGGGAGTCCCATGTGGTGAGTGTATTGATCACTCCTCAAACCTAGCCCTCTTATGAAAAAGATTGTGTGTGTACACACATACCTACACACACACACACACACACACACACGCACACACACATGCACACATACACACATATTCTTGAGTTGAAAGCCGGTGGAGGAATTGTTTTAGGTATATGATGGGAAAGTAAATTTCCTTTCTTTCACCCCAGACACTTTCTAGAAACCCTTGAATTTGGGATAGTGTAGTTTAACATAGGCCTGACCTTGTGTCCTTAATGCCTAAGAGCTGTTTTTGTTAGTTACTGCCCAACAGGATACTAGACTCTCCCTGGAGTGAAGGGACAAGCAGATCCTCCTTCAGGAAATTTAGAAGATGCAAGAGTGTTTTTATCCAGCAGACTGAGGTGGCATAACTGTGCAGGGGACTGGGAGAACCCGGATGATCCCAGCCTGTAGGAGTGTGTGGTGCTGGAGGGTCTGTTACATAGGGATCTTGTGCAGTGTGCCAAATTGGCCACATCATGGGAGTCTCTTGAGATGCAGCTCGGGGACCCGGGAAATGGTATTATTCAGAAGCACTCCGGGAGATTTCCTGGGTGTTAGCAGGAGCTACTGGGCCCGAATTCAGTTTTTTTTGTCTCTCAGGAAATCATCAGATCCCCTGGCGATGCCCTTGCTAGCCCTTGCAAATAAAGAACTGCAACATTGGAGGAAATCACTGTTGGTCAAAACAGACTGTGTCTGACACAGGTTCCAAGAGGCCCCAGGAGGTGGGCTTCCTAGCAGGCAGTACTGAGAGTGGGAGGGAGACCCCTTCCCCTCCAGTGGGGTGAGTGAGACTAGAATCTTGTGTAGCATCCTGGCTGAAGTCATAACACGAACGTCCAAAGTTAGGGGACTTCCAGGCATTCAGGGATGTTCCTAATATTCCTCTGCTTACATTAACCCCCCCCCCCCCCCCCCCCCAACTGTTGCACCCTACTGATTGAGTGGTGAACGGGTCTTCCATTTTTCTCTGATGTATGTATTCTGTTGGCCTCTGTCATTTTCTCCGTTGAGGACTCAGGGTCCATTTAATCCTAAGGGTGCATTGATTACTATACAGGCTTGTTTTTCTAAAATGGAAATAACTTGGCCAACTCCTCTTCTTTTGTGGGAGGTCTCCAGGCAACTGTGGTCAACTTTTAAAAGCCGCTAAGAGGTCAAGAAGTACTCTGCTGGGTCTTGTTCTGTCCCTTTCAAAAAAGGCTTCTCAAGACAAGGTGCAGTATCTCTCACCTGTAGTCCCAGCTACCCAGGAGGATCATTTGAACCCAGGAGGTTGAGATCAGCCTGGGCAACGTAGCAAGATCTCATTTCTACTACTAAAATTGAAAAAATTAGCCAGGTGTGTTGCATGTGCCTTTAGTCCCAGCTACTTGGGAGGCTGAGGTAAGAGGATTGCCTGAGCCCAGGAGGTTGAGGCTGCAGTGAACCAGGATCGCACCACCACACTCCAGCTTAAGTGACAGAGTGAGATTCTGATTCAAAAAAATAAAATAAAAAGTGAAACAGGCTTCTCTGTCTGCTTTGGACTGTAGAAGTGTGTTTCTTCCTTGGCTCTGTCTTAGGCCTCTGGCCGCGACTCTGACGGGCTCACCCACCCCCCTTATTTCATTGCACATCCCCATCCCTGACACACACTTGGACTCTAACCTGCTGTTTTGCACGCAGGGCAGTTCTGCATGAGCGTCTGTCTGCCTTGTACCATGTTCAAATGCCATGTGTTTGAAGGGGCCTGACATCACCCTGACTTTTCTATATTCCCAACGCCTGTCAGAGTTCTGGGCTCACACACGATGCTGTGTCCTAGTCACCTGTAACTCTTTTCTTTCAAACCATGGAAAGTGTCAATAAATAGTGACTGTTCTCTCTTTCATCACTTAACCTAAGGGATCACCAGGTCTTGTCACTTACATGTTTGGATTTTTGTTGCCTCTTTTTTTCTTAATTCCTCGATATACCTCTTTTGATTTCTTCACCTCCAATTCATACTGAAATCTCTCTTCCTTCACCTGCCAGATGAATCTTGCCCATTTTTCTTTATAAAGTGGAAATAACTCAGCCTATTTCCCCGGTCTGTTGTGAGGATTAGACATATGTAAAGTAATGTAAAGTGTTTATCATACTGCCTGGCACAAAGCAAGTATTCAGTAAATGGTAGCATGTTCATTTTCTTATCCCCTGCTGCATTTGATTATCCTTCACTCCACCTCTGTGTCGACACTGTGGGAGCAACAAAGTGTATAGCCAAAAATATGGGACCTCTAGGCCCATCATATAGAGCCCTGTGCCCGTTATGTACAGTCCTGTGCCTGTCACATAGAGCCTTGTGCCCATCACATAGAGCCCTGTGCCTGTTGGATTCAGTCCCCAGATTCCTGTTTACCAGTTGTTCATTGTTGGGAGTGTAGGTTAGTTTCTTTACTGACCTTTTGGGTCATTAGTGCAAGAAGAGAGAAAGCCTAGAGCGAATGTCTCCTCAGCAGTCCGTGGCCATGCAGATTCCCCTTAGTTTTGTTTTCCCATGCTGTATCTGTAAACCCCGTAGTGTCTGACCTGTTTGGTTGCAGACGTTTGCAGTTGCGTGTGATCAGTGTTTCTCTTTCTTTTTGGCAGGTTGAACCCATCCACAGTAATGGCCGCAGCCTTACCCAGAACCCTGGGGGAGTTGCAGCTATATAGAATATTACAGAAAGCCAATCTGCTTTCCTACTTTGATGCCTTTATCCAACAAGGTGGGGATGATGTCCAGCAACTCTGTGAGGCTGGAGAAGAGGAGTTTTTGGAGATCATGGCACTCGTGGGCATGGCTAGCAAGCCCCTACATGTGAGAAGGCTGCAGAAGGCACTGAGAGACTGGGTCACCAACCCTGGCCTTTTCAACCAGCCCCTGACTTCCCTTCCAGTTAGTAGCATCCCCATCTATAAGTTGCCTGAGGGGTCCCCGACGTGGCTGGGAATATCTTGCAGCAGCTACGAGAGGAGCAGCAGTACCCGGGAACCACACCTGAAGATCCCCAAGTGCGCCGCCACCACCTGTGTGCAGAGCCTGGGTCAGGGCAAGTCAGAGGCGGTGGGGAGCCTGGCGCTGCAGGGTGTCGGCGAGTCCAGACTCTGGCAGGGCCACCACGCCACTGAGAGCGAGCACAGCCTGTCCCCCGCGGACCTGGGCTCCCCAGCCTCCCCCAGGGAAAGCAGCGAGGCACTGGACGCGGCCGCTGCCCTGTCCGTGGCTGAGTGTGTGGAGCGCCTGGCCCCCACGCTGCCCAAGAGTGACTTGAGCGAGGTCAGAGAGCTGCTGAAGACCCACAAGAAGCTGGCCAAGATGGTCGGGCACATCTTTGAGATGAGCGACAGTGACCCGCACAAGGAGGAGGAGATTCGGAAATACAGCGCCATCTATGGCAGGTTCGACTCCAAGAGAAAGGACGGGAAGCACCTCACGCTGCACGAGGTACGCTGGGGTCCCTGTGTGTGGTGCTGCCCTGCCTCGGATCCTCTGGGTCATGGTTTGCAGGGGAGGACGCCCACCTCCCAAAAGCAGGCGGGACGCATCCAGGTGTTAGCAAGACACGACTCTTTGTGAAAGCAGACCATCTTGATTGTGTTGGACTCAAACTTGGTTGGGCTTTAGACTGCAGTGTGAGATGCCTTGCGGAGAAATGTCAGAGTTTTGGTCACGTGCAGTAGCTCATGCCTCCAAGCCCAGCGCTTTGGGAGGCCAAGGCTGGAGGGTCGTTAGAGCCCAGGAATTCCAAACCAGCCTGGGAAACATCGCGAGAGCCCCATCTCTACTTGTAGCTGAGGCTGGAGGATCGCTTGAGCCAAGGAGATGGAGGCCGCAGTGAGTGTGACTGCACCTCTGCACTCCACCCTGGGCGACAGAGGGAGACCCTGCTTTAAAAGAAAGAAAATAAGCCGGACCCCGTGGCTCAGCCTGCATTCCCGCGCCTCGGGAGGCTGAGTTGAGTGGATGGCCTGAGCCCACGGGTCCGAGACCCGCCTGGGCAACTGGGCGAGACCTCATCTCTACGATAAATCAAAAATCAGCCGGGCGTGGTAGCGGGTGCCTGTCGTTCCGGCTACTCGGAAGGCTGAGGCGGAAGGATCGCCGGGGCCCGGCAGGCGAGGCTGCGGAGGCCGGGAGCGGCCACTGCGCTCCAGTCTGGGTGACGGAGTGAGACTCCGACTCAAAAAAATAAAAAACAAAAAATAAAGAAAATAAAAGAAAAATGTCAGAATTTAGGCAGTGAAAATATAAAGTCTCAGCATTTGTAAGGCAGTTTGTTTTTCAGTTAAGAAATAGGATTTTAAATATAACCATTCATTTAAAAAACATTTTAATAGACTTTTTTTAGGAAAAGCATTTTATAAAAATAGCCAGAACTTAAAGCAATTTTCAGCCAGCATAGAAAACAAAATTATATTAGATGACTGCTGGAGGAGTTATTATGGCTTTGAACATTGTTTTGGTTTGATGTTTGGCATTAAAAATTCTCATTTTATAGCACTGTATCCGGAAATATTCTGGTTAAGTATGTGCGCCTGTGTGTATATGCATATAACATTTTATATGTATAATATACATATTTATGGATTGTGTGTGTGTGTGTATGTGAACTTTCACTCCTTCCTCCTCTTGTCTCTCTGGCCAACACATCATCTTTGCAGTTCAGCCCAGCACACTTGAATCTTTTCTGTTACCTCTTCCTTCAAGTAAAATAACTTCTTTCCTTTTCATTTTTACCCCCATGTCTTGCTTATTTTTGTACTGGTCTGTCCCTCGCAGTACACTTGCATTTCTTTATGGAAGAGGTAATGTTTCATTCACCTTTATGTCCCCAAAGTCTAATGTATTAGCCGGGCTTGGTGGCTCAGCCTGTAATCCCACACCTTTGGGAGGCTGAGGTGAGTGAATTGCCTGAGCCCGCGGGTTCGAGACCCGCCTGGGCAGCGAGACCTCATCTCTACAATAAACCAAAAAATCAGCCGGGCGTGGTGGCGTATGCCTGTAATTCCGGCTACTCGGAAGGCTGAGGCGGAAGGATCGCCGGAGCCCAGCAGGTCGAGGCTACGGTGGCTGGGAGCGGCCACTGCACTTCAGTCTGGGTGACAGAGTGAGACTCCAACTCAAAAAAAAAAAAAAAGAAAAAAGGTCTCATGTATTTAGTAAATGCTTGGAAGATAAATGCGTTTTCAAAAGTTAAAAAGGCTCTTTCACAGCTAAATGTTTTTATATCCATGTATCCTTTACAAGAAGGAAGTAAATCCTCTGAAAAAATTTCAGGTTGAATGCAGTATTTCACATTCAACATCAGATCTTTTCCCCATACTTGTACTTTAACATTAAAAAGAATATATACTAATTGTAAAAGCGTTCAGTCATTACCAAAAGATGTCAAGTAATTGAATCTGTGAACTAGATATGCTTTTCTGCATATATACAAATAAGGGGTCGTATTTTGTACACTGTTCTCCAAATAGCTTTTTTCTTTTTTTTCTAATGGAACAGTACATGCACAATATAGTATGCTGGTAGGTATTTTTTCCAGGCAATATAGCACATTTAGAGCAGTACTACTCATTTCTGGGTTACATTGTAGTCCACAGTATGAATGTGCCATTATTTATCTTAACCATTCACTTTTTGATAATCATTTCGATTGCTTACAATTTTTTAATAATTACATTGTGGTGATACACGGACATTATTATGCACATACACCTTTACAGATTTATGCATGTTTTTCTGTAAAATGAATTCCAACATGTAAAATGATGGGATCAAAGACTATGAAGATTTAATATTTCAGTAGATACTGCTAAATTACCTTCTAAAAAAGCTGTAGCATCATCACATCACACTTCCACTATCTTCATTATGCATGTGTTGATTTCTCCATGCTCTGCTAATAGTGCATTTTATATTCATTTTAATTTTTGCCAGTCTAATGGAAACATTTTATTGCTCAAACTCATTTCTAGTGAGTGTGAATATCTTCTCATCGTTTAACAGACATCCAATTTTACATTCATATCCTTTGTATTAGTGTTAGGGTTGTTTATCTTTTAAAAAATTGATTGGTAGCTGGGCTCGGTGGCTCAGCCTGTAATCCCAGCACTTTGGGAGGCCAAGGGGAGTGGATTGCCTGAGCCCGTGGGATTGAGAACCGCCTGGGCAAGTTGGCGAGACCTCGTCTCTACAATAAATCAAAAATGAACCGGGCGTGGTGGCGCGTGCTGTAGTTCCAGCTACTTGGAAGGCTGAGGTGGAAGGATCACCGGAGCCCAGCAGGTTAAGGCTGCAGTGGCCAGGAGCGGCCACTGCACTCCAGTCTGAGTGAGACTCCAACTCAAAAAAAAAAATTTATTGGTGTAAGAACTTTTTATATTTTAAGGATATTAACCCCTTGTCTTATGTTGTTATATTTTACCAGATTATTATTTGTCCTGTGACCTTTCAGAGAGTTTTACCGTGCGGAAGTTTAATTTTATACAATCATATCTACTGATCTTATCCCGTGTGGTTTCATTTGTACAATTCTATATTCCTTTACCAGTATAGAGTTTAGTTCTTTAGCTGTATAATATGTTTTGATATCTGGAAAGGCAAGTACTCCTTCCTTTGTCTTTTTTTGCAACTTTTCTGGGATTTTGTCTGTTTGTTTTAGCATTTAGAAATTGTATGCATTTCTTCTTGACAATGAAATTTTGAATGCATTTATCAAGTTTCCTCAAAATTTCTATTGTTATTAGTTAGAAATGCTTCAACTGTGTGGGTTAATTTGGAAAAAGATCGACGTATTTACAGTAATGAGACCTGTATGGGAACATAGCATTTGTATTATTATTTAGCTCTTTTATATCCTCAGTAATTTTATAGTTCATTTATTCACCATAGATTTTGCACATTTCCTGTTAGTCAAATGCTGTGTATGTTAAATGTCTGTATTACATATACATTTCAATTTGTTTGATTTAAATAAAATATACAAATATTGAGATATAAAAGGAATATAATTTTAAATGAGATTTTTTCTCACTTTTTTAATGGCTATAACTGGCTGATTTTTGTTATATTAAACTTGTTTTCAGCAATTTCACCATCTGATCTTTTTAAATAAAGTATTTTCCATCTGAATACTAGAACTTAAGATCAGTAAGATGCTAAGTGTGCTTTCTAGATCTGCTCACAGGTTCCCGTGAGGCAGTTACTGTGTGGCAACAATACATGACATTTGCAGCTTAGCATTATCACCCAGATGCACTTTGATGTTTTTTATTACCTATGAACCAATAGAGGAATACATTTAAAAGGCTATATGACCATGATTGATAGAAAAACAAATGGCAAAATGTGTTCGCAATATTAGTTTCATGCTCTAATCTAGTTTTGTATAGTTTTTGAAGCACAGCAGATACAACACAAAGTTGAGTCAGAAGACTTGTATTTGTGTCAAAGTAGAAGTATTTCTGAAAGATTAATAAACTCAATTGACCTGACTTTTAAAAACAAAAAAATCCTACCATAATTTAAAAAAATTCCAAAAGGAATGATTCTACACTTCGCTTTTGCTAAGGGGCTCTTTACTTCTTTAGATAAGTAGGTACAGATGGTATTTAAGTAATGAGACCGTGGGTTTCCCAAAATAAGGAAATACTCACTGAATGCCAGTAGGCCTGACTGTGGGGGTGGGAACTTGGGAAGATGTGGTTTGTGTTTTTGAAACTTAACTTAGGCCACTTGTTACTTGTAATTCAAGTATGTGAATTTGGTCCAGTAATACAGTTTAGGATAAAAGTTTATTAATCAGGAAGCTTTCTTCAAACTAGACCTTTCTTCAAACCATCCAAGACCTTAGAGGAAATCGTGAAACCCTGAGGGAATTAAAAGAAAGAAAGCATTATTAAGTGTACCTTTTGGAAGTTTGCAAGTTTTCACTTGATTATTTAAAATCAGAGATTTTTTTTTTTAGTTTGTCTAAATTTCTGTTTTGTTGTTGTTTTTTTTTGAGTGGGAGTCTCACTCTGTCACCCAGACTGGAGTGCAGTGACCGCTCCCGGCCACCACAGCCTCGACCTGCTGGGCCCCGAAGATCCTTCCGCCTCAGCCTTCCGAGCAGCTGGAACTACAGGCGCGTGCTACCACGCCTGGCTGATTTTTTGTAGAGATGAGGTCTCACCAAGTTGCCCAGGCGGGTCTTGAACCCGCAGGCTCAGGCAATCCACTCACCTCAGCCTCCCAAAGCGCTGGGATTACAGGCTGAGCCACCGAGCCCGCCTTTTTCTAAATTTCTAAGATCAAAGAACATTACTAATTTATCCTCAATTTCCAAACAAGGAAAATGTGATTTATTCTTTTTTTTTTTTTTTTGGAGTCTCACTCTGTCG